ATAATTTCATTTGATAAACATGTTTAGATTGAATGGTAATTTATAATCAGTCACAAGAACGTCGAATCTGAATCACTTGAAAAAAACATGGGGGTGCTTAACTTTTTTCCAGGTGTATAGTATGTCCATAGCTGGTTCAGATGAGCAACATTTAGCTTCACACATGTGCTTATGTGTCTTCTCTCAACTTTAGGATATATTTTCCTTCCTTTTTGGGTTATATAACCGTATTATTACCATGCAGTCTTGGCATAGCATATTTTCATCTAATTACTTATTGCTAAGGGTCAACTATTTTGTTTTTGAAGTTGGTTTAAAAAAGAGGATTTGGTTTTATTTTTGAGCAACAATTTCCAGTTACTTGATTGTTTGAGCATTCAATCTCAGAATTTTATTACAAGTTAATATTATCCAACTCTATTGGTGGTAATATCAGAACTTACAAAATACTGTCACAGCAGTTTCAAAATCTGGAAAACAAGTAGGTCCAATAATCACTATACTATATCAAAAGATAACAACAATTTCAGTTACATTTTACAACACTAATGACACTTAGAACAATTGTGAATTATGAATATTTAGAAAGCCTTATTTAAGAATAAGAAATATCTCTTCAGACATAATAACTGATTCTTGCCAATAGACTGGAGTTAACCAAACATATTTCAATTGTTTATCCTTTGGTTCACTTCTGAGTAATTACTGAAATGTGCTTTTTTTAATTTAAGGTATTTGCTTATCTCACTGATTTTAAAAACTTTGTGTAACACTTGTGAAAAGTAGTTTTTTTTCTTAATATTTTGGTAGGCTTTTAAATGACAATGAATGTCAGTAAACAGACTTCTAAAAATTTATATGGATTATTAAAAATCTTCAACTAACCTAATATGATGTTGGAAATACTTTTTTATAGTTTAAAACTAAAACAAAAATCTGAATGTCTTCTAGTATAAAATGTAATGGAAATCTCATTGTGGTTTTTACTCCCAATCCAGAACACACAACATAACCCATATTGATCAGCAAAAACGTTATGATTACAGTAAACAAAAGTGTACCCCAAGACTTAACACATACAGAAGTTTGGAATATCATCCAGGGGTTAGACACAGCAGCACACATTGAGAGTGGGGGTGGTGCAAGTCATTTCCAGTTGAACAATATAGATAAGTTCTATTGAAGAAGAAGAATACAGTTAGTATGAACACAACTGCCCCATTACTGATGAAAAAGTTAAATATTTAAGGCACTTTTCCATTAGTTAGTGGAATTGCAAAAGGTCATACCACATGCTGATTGGCAGTGAATCTGAATTAAGCCTGCAACCTGAGTGAAATAACGGATCAGTGGTGATACGCCCAAGATCAGTCTATATCTGGATTGGATTATGACAATCTGCATTTGTGTGATCCACATGTCTGGCCATTCCTAATGTATGTATATTAGTGGTGTGTGTCAAGCTTCAAAACTTGTCTTCAAATAAATCACACGCTTATCGGATCACAAAAAGAACACACTTTCATCAGAATACAAAAAGTATATATTAAATGAAGTTCAAGAACTCCTTCTCTTACAATTATTTTTCTGTAAACCTTTCGGGATGTATTGCAAAAGTGCCTGAATATATTGCGTATTTTCATAGGTAAACAAACTTACCGATCCACTCTTCTTTAAAATCAAATCAAGAGAATTCTTTAGATCAGATCATTGGCCAATAAGGAGATCGGTCGCAACCTTAATCTGAATCCACCATAATGTAGCCAGATATCACACCAAATCCATAGATAGTGGTAGGGTTTTTAAAACATACAGATAAAAATCATTGTAGATCACCAAATCATTTTGTTTTTATTACCATGAAATTAGTATTCAAAATGGAAATTAACCTATTAAATGTATGGCAGTTTATACTTGACTGTAGATTGAGCTAAATCTACAATATATCTCATCTTCAAAGATAAGGAAAGTTTTACCAAGAACTGGCATAAATTCACCAGCTATCCAAATATCTACAAATTATTCATAATGAAAACAGCTCAAACTAGAAGCTATATGACAACAGGGAGTGACAGAGCTAAGTTATAACTCTTAGTCAACAACCATTGTTTCTGCTCAGATTATTAAGCAAAAATGATTAATGTCAAGAAATAAAAGGATGTTTAATTTAACTTCTATTTATGACAGTCTTCACGTCTTAAAGCTTTGTTTGACTTGAAGTAATTTTTTAAGGTTTTGATCTTGAGGAGTGAATATGGATAGCACTAAAAGCAGATACTGGGCTTTTGAAATCTATGTTATTAAATGGACTTCAGTACTCCATCAACTTTTATAAATAATGAAGTATTGTTCCAAAGATTTATTTTGGATGTTTGTAATAACATTCATTCATATGTGGTTTTTGGATTAGACATTAAATTAATGTTTGTTTCAGATATTAAAGCAAAGCTACATCTCAGAATCTTTCGTCAATTGTCAAAATATAAAAGGTTTTTAGTTATATTTCTTAGTAGTATAAATATATACTATGTTGTTGTTGGGCTTAGGATTCTTGTACAATAGGTGACTGTAATTTGTTGACGATAAATAATAAATGAACAGCACGCACTTCACTTGTTTTCAAAATAATATATATATTCGAAACAAGTTAAACGTATGTACAACAAATTCTTCACACTATAGATATCATAGGTATATCATAAACATCATAGGTATATATAGTTCTCTTCTTGTCAAAAGTCCACTTAAGCCTATTCAATTACTTTAGAATTTCAGTTGACAAGCTGAACTATCTTCTATTACTACTACTACTAGTATTTTGTGTGTGATTCACTTACAATTGTGGCACAAGTTACTGTAATTGTTTGGTCTTCTCTCTTCTGAAGATCCTCTGTTCCTTTTGTCAAAGTGTACTCAGG